AGTAGGTAGTAGTGAATACTAACCAACCAACCCATCTATACACATACACCCATTCAACAGGGTAGTAAGTAGTAAGTCAGTCAGTCAAGATAAGAATTCGCCAAGCTCTCACTCGTGATTTCATGTACATTCACAGGAAACAGGGATATAGCCTCCAAAGATAAATTAATTAATTACTCGATTTCTGAGGGTGTTGGATTGGCGCTTGCAGGGGTCTGCTACACTTGAGTAAGAGAACATCACTACGTTAACTGGTTGGTTACAGAGTAGCTAACTTCGTACTGAAACGGCCCGATATGACTAAGATCTGACTGGGTTTGAGTCTTGTAGTTCGTTAAATGTTAGAGATCTAGAGATGATTTAATTAAGTAGTTAACTACATTGTTACATAAGTAATGAGTGGGTGGGTTAATAGCTGCGCTACCTCACTAAGTACTTAGCTAACTAGTAACTCACCAGTCAAACCATTAACGAAAACATGACCACCCATGATTAATCATCTTATGCTATGAATTCATAGCGAGAGCAGATGAATAGCCAAAGATCCGGAATAGAAGAAGTCGAAGATGTCACCCACACCCACAGCCTTACCCTTACCCTTCCATCTCCACCCATGGAACCGACACTTCCGAATCAACCAGCAAATAAACTCATTTCTGACATCCACCACATACTATTCTATCTCTACATAGTCCAGATAGCCTTTCCCACCATTAACCTTCTAGACTCTACTCAACGTCATAGGAGAAAAGTCTATGATTCATCTGTCATCCATGAATACCATATAAGTTGATACCTACATACCTGCACTAACTATTCCATTGACTATTCTACTACTACTCAAACGAATTTAATTGTTTTGTGGACTTAAGTGATATTCACGAGTTAATTCGTACGTACATCCCATCATTTTGCAATAAAGAGATGGATTGAAGATAACTGACCAATGAAACAGGAAGTTGAACAAAATGGACTCCATCAAGAAGAACCTCGAAAGCGCCAAGAACAAGGGCCAGGATTACTATAACCAGATGATGGGACAGCAGCAGAGTATGTCGATTTCTTTCCTTTGTTATTGACTAGGGGAAATCGGAGTAATGCTAACGGAGATACTCTGCTCGTATAGACTCCGATGCCTCCCAGTACGCCCAAGACGCCAAGAACAAGGCCAACGAGGGCATGGATAAGACCAAGCAGACGGCTAAGGATTATATGCCGGATCAGGCCGGGGATCATTAGATCATCCGTACACTTGGTATAGGCTAATAGGCTAGCTACTAAGGAATGAATATAATATAATATAGTCAGATAAATCCTATACCGAAGAAAACCATAACAGTAAATACAGTCATTTCCCATAAACCATGCGCAAGAAGCAAAAAGTATCCATCAATCTCGTGATATAATTACAACCCTGACGCCAAGACAATCAATCAAACCGGACCAGATCAGACAAGGAAAGAACACGAGGTATGTGCTTAACCCTGGCACATAATGCATGCCTCCTTGTTCTCAATGCTGCACTGGAGCACCTGCTGCGAGTAGATGTCGTTCTCGCGCTCTTCGCTCTCCTGCTGGCTGTCCTCCTCCTGAGGGCCGTTCTCCTGAGCGGAGGCATCAGCAGCAAGAGCCCGAGGGCTGCCGTTGGTGGAGCCGTTGACGCCATTAACACCGTTCTCGCTGTGTCCGTTGACCGGGGCCTGGCCACGGGGAACAGCAGAGTACGTGCTAGAGGCAGCGCCAACAGCACGCTTCTTGTACGCGGCATTGGTGCGGGCCACGTTGGTGTCCTCGACCTTGAGCTGCTCCTGGTCGACGGTGAACTGGATGGGCGCAGAGGCGGCCATCGTGCGCAGGTAGTACATGCCCGTCTTCAGACCCATCTTCCAGCCGGCAAAGTGCATGCTGGTGATCTTGCCCATGGTGGGCTCCTTCAGGTGGATGTTAAGAGACTGAGACTGGTCAATGAACGCACCACGGTCCGCGGCCATCTGCAGGATCGTGCGCTGGGAGATCTCCCACACCGTCTTGTACAGCGCCTTGATGTCACTGGGGATGTTGGGGATGTTCTGAACGGAACCACCCTCGGCAATGATGCGGTTCTTCATGTTGTCCGACCACAGGCCGAGGTCGACCAGGTCCTTCAGCAGCCAGGGGTTGACCACCTGGAACTCACCAGCCAAGACACGGCGGGAGTAGATGTTGGAGGTGTAAGGCTCGAAGCACTCGTTGAAGCCCAAGATCTGACTGGTACTGGCAGTGGGCATGGGAGCGACCAGCAAGCTGTTGCGGACACCAGTCTGGGCGATCTTGGCCTTGAGGGAGTCCCAGTCCCAGAGGTCAGTGGGAGTGCGGTCCCACATGTCGTACTGGAGGATACCCTGGGAGACAGGAGATCCCTCGTAGGTCTCGTAAGTTCCGAACTCCTTGGCAAGATCGGACGAGGCGGTCAAACCAGCGTGGTAGATAGTCTCGAAGATCTGGATGTTCAGTTGTCTGGCCTCGGCCGAGTCGAAGGGCAGGCGGAGAGCGAGGAAAGCATCAGCCAGACCGTTGACACCCAGAGCAATGGGACGGTGACGGAAGTTGGACTTCTTGGCCTCCGGGACGGGGTAGTAGTTAATGTCGATGATCTTGTTCAGGTTACGGACCAAGACCTGGACAACCTCGTGGAGCTTGCCAAAGTCATACTCGCCGCGAGCAGCGTCGACGAAAGTAGGCAGGGCAAGAGACGCAAGGTTACAGACAGCAACCTCATCAGGAGCACTGTACTCAATGATCTCAGTGCAGAGGTTGGAGCTACGGATGGTTCCGAGGTTCTTCTGGTTGCTCTTCTTGTTGCAAGCATCCTTGTACAGCATGAAGGGGTTACCAGTCTCGGTCTGAGCCTCCAGAATAGCGTACCACAGCTTCTGAGCCTTGATGGTACGACGGCCACGGCCTTCCTTCTCATACCTGCAATACTATTAGCGTGGGTCGCGAACACGCGGACCGGCAAACTTACTTCTCGTAGAGAGCGTCGAACTCATCACCGTAGACATCAGCCAAGCCAGGGGCTTCGTTGGGGCAGAACAGAGTCCAGTCACCGTTCGCCTCAACACGCTTCATGAACAGATCCGGGGTCCACAGGGCGTAGAACAGATCACGGGCTCTGACCTCCTCCTTACCGTGGTTCTTACGGAGATCCAGGAACTCGAAGACATCCGAGTGCCAGGGCTCAAGGTAGATGGCGAAAGCACCGGGACGCTTGTTGCCACCCTGGTCAACGTATCTGGCAGTGTTGTTGAAGACACGAAGCATAGGAACAAGACCGTTGGAGGTACCGTTGGTACCACCAATGTAGGAGCCAGTAGAACGGATGCGGTGCACGTTCAGACCGATACCACCGGCCGTCTTGGAGATCATAGCGCAAGTCTTCAGAGTGTCGTAGATACCGTCAATGCTGTCCTCCTTCATGTCGACGAGGAAGCAAGAGGCAAGCTGGGGCTGGGGAGTACCAGCGTTGAACAGAGTCGGAGAGGCGTGAGTGAAGTACTTCTGAGACATCAAGTTGTAGGTCTCGATGGCCTTCTCAATGTCGCTGCCGTGAATACCAACGGCAACACGCATCAGCAGGTGCTGGGGACGCTCAGCCACCTTTCCGTTGATCCGCAGCAGGTATGACCGCTCCAAAGTCTTGAAACCGAAGAAGTTGTAGTTGAAATCACGGTCGTATACAATAGCCGAGTTGAGTTCGTCGGCATGTTTCATAATTATTTCGTATGTCTCCTTTGATATCATCGGTGCAGGAGCATTGTTTTTGGGGTTGACATAGTGGTAGAGATCTGAGATGACCAAAGAGAACTGCTTCTTGGTCTGCTTGTGGAGGTTGGAAACGGCGATACGGGCAGCGAGAATGGCGTAATCAGGGTGTGTGACAGTCATGTACGCAGCAGTTTCGGCAGCCTAAGTCAAATTATCAGCACTTGCTCTGCCAATTGTAGCGGCGGCAAACCTACCAGGTTATCGAGCTCAACGGTGGTGACACCCTGGTAGACACCAGAGATGACCTTCTGGGTAATGGCAGCAGCATCGACATGCTCAGGGTCGAGTCCGTAACACAGCCTCGACACACGAGCAGTGATCTTGTCGAACTGCACGCGTTCTTTGCGTCCGTCTGTATTCAGAATTAGCACATACTGTTGCAAGGGTGGCAAGATCCATTCCGCTCAATGGACGGGCATCCATTCCACCCAAAGCAGGAAATCTTGTGCAACTCGTACTGACCTCTCTTGTAGACAAACATTTTGGACAGTGAGGTTATAGACAACGAGAAAAGAAACTAGAACAAAGGGTATATGGAAATAATATTAGGGTAGTAGAGAAAAGAAGGCTTGGATATGTATAAGAGAGGATTGAGAGGAGAAATCGTCACAGAAAGAATGTCCTGAAGACAGGAGCTGAGGGGAGGATGAAAGATGAGAGGAAAGAGAAGACGGAGGGGCAGAAAGATGGGAGGAGATATTTGATGTCGCCGGGGCAAACGCGTTACGGTGGATATCCACGCGAATTTTCGTGTTTGGACTAAATGGGTTGCCCTTTGCATACGAGCCCGCTGACTGGTGCGCCGCCAATCTTTGTCCGGCTGGCGGGAACGCGCGACGAGCGCAGTCACGTGTGGGTTTTCTTTCAGTTCACGCCACGTCCCTCAGCAAATGCCGTGCTTCTTACAAATCAGCTCCGAGCCTCGGACACCGTATATCCGTTTGCAGGATATGGTTTCCGCCGACCTTCGACTACGTACCATCATGATTCCCATGCAACCTAAGCCCCACTAGGATATATTACGTATGAACTTTCCGCCTCCCAGCGGGTTTCGGAGAGCTGCCTACGGATGCCTACACCGGTGGAGAAGACGCGGTTAAAGTGACGCGGTCTGCGCCCAATATGTACTCAACATCATTGATGTCCAAGGGTTCAGAGCCTTGTCTGAGATAATATACGAAGCGGACTAACTGGATCTATAACGTCGCCGCAAATCCGACAAAAACAACGGCCGCAAACGCAGCAGCAGACGCGCCACGGTCAGCCGATCCCAACGAAATGGTCTCATTAGGATGAGTGCTGGGACAAGCACTAGAGCTGGCATCGGGGACAGAGCTCGAAGTGGAGATGCCGGTTGAACTAGCTATGACGGAGCTAGGCTTGGTCGGGCTGAAAAGAACGGTGGAATGGGATGCGATGCCGGACGAGGTTGTTGGTAGGTATGCTGCATAAGTAGAGTCAAATGTCTCTCATCTTTGGCAAAGCGTCATTCAAGTTCAAAACCTACCAATTGTGTAGCCTGCAGATGTGCAGGTGTCTTTTAACTGCTCCAGAGCCAATTGTCTCTCATCCCCGCAAAACTCCACGATCTTGGCCCACACTTTGCCTACGTTCGTCGCACAAATATCTTGGAGGTTATCAGATTCCGGTTGAGACCTATACTGGGTTAGCAGGGGACCAAACTAAGTGCAGCTATCTCGCTGTCACAATTATACCTCATGGCAGACACCAAACATGGCGGGGTCTGTGTAGCTACGCTGAGGCTCCCAAAGACCAGAAATGAGACGAGGAAAGCAAAATGAGCGAACAACATGATGCTGTCGAGCTCTCAGAGCTCAAGCAACAAGCATATGAGAACCGGGTATGAGAAAGGCAACAAAAGAACGTAACAACGAACGACTATCCAAGCATTGGCTGGATGTAATGCAACTACAGTAAAAGAGAGTCTGCTGAGAAGCTAAAATTGTCTATGGAGAAGTGACTAGGGAGGATAAGAGTGACCAGCGTACTGATATAAAGGAGAGTGAGGCCAGACCACTCCGCCCCATGAGGCATCGACCCTGCCGATCCATCCTTCATTTCGCTGCCGGGAGTTGAAGTCTTGGCCAATGGCCCGAAGACTCGGGTGGAGTCCGCCAGGGACCAGCTCGGCTAGCGCCCGGGCCTCACTCCTATCTTCTAGTGGACATGAGGAATAGTTATTTGTAGTCATGAGTGAGTAGGTACTCGGACTGCATCTGATGAACATGCTCTTAGCGTACCTCTTAGTTGCCTCATTACTACGCCAATGCATCATCTTCACCATCTTCCACAGTAGCTAACTGTCCACCATACCCCATAACGCAATAGTCGCAACATCAGCAATACCAAGTGACCAATAATCATCACTCAACGAGCACTTACGAACTCACAATGACAACATCCTCAACTATATAATGAGTCCTAGGTAAGGAGTCGGCCACTTCAAACAAGCTCCAGCATCCAGATGAAGACGTGGCACGATCCTTGACGCCAATATTATAACATACGAACAGATTGCACTATTTCTAGGAAGGATCTTTCACCATAAACCCTCAAAAGCCCGTAATAATCATAAGCAGCAAGTCTCAGCAATAATCTAATTTCAGTAGACATTTAACGACTAGGGAAGGGATCCGCTGCATCTACCCTTGCGGCAAATGCAATACAAACTGTAACACAGCTTTGCAGCCTTGGTTTCGACATTCAATATGGTAATTAAGCAGGGAATGCTAAATTTCAGGGAAAGTGATATATGTGTGCTGCATGGATTCTTATAGCTAAGTGCATACCTAAGGGATTATTTGCATACCTACAACGGTCAATTGATCGGGCCAGGAAGTTGATCCCTGCTGTTCTAGCCACACACAAGCGTATAAAGTGGTGTAATTCTTTAGAAAAAGCATGTTCTCTTCTGGTATATTCCCTAAAATCTCAACTTTATTGCAGGCTGTAGCGCTTCAGGGTGGATTCGGATCGGTGAGTATATCTACCCATCGTGGAGGCATATAGCAAGCGTAGTAGTGGGGTCCAGCTAGTCTAGTTTTCAGGGGTTGGCATAGGATATTAGAGGGTGGTTATTGTTCTTGACTAAGTTCTGGTAAGGACCGAAGGTGTATAGAGTAGATGTAGTCATTTGAATATGGGATCAGGATGCCGGTATCTGTACTGTTCAAATGGTCTAACAAGTGCAAAGATGCTCAATCTCAAAGACATAGTAAATCCTTTCTCCAGTGTTCATTCAATGCAAGTCTTCAATTGCTAATGATCTCTCCATGCATGTCGTATATCCAAGAATCTGGGTAATCATAAGTATAAGTCTAGTAAACAGCGAGTCTTGACCAACGTCTATAACTCTAAAATCTCCATCCACCCAAATGTCCCACTCACGCATCCCACGCAGGATCATACCGACTGACAACCAGCTCTTGCAAATCCAATCTATAATCAACAATCTCCTTCCCATTGACCAAATCATTCTCCAAGACTCTCTTCTCCGCCTCTGCCTCATCCCTCGCAATCCCAGCCTTAACATGCCTCCTAATTAACCTGTTCTTCGCAACCTCGAAATCCACCTCCACAAACCACAACTCATCCATCAGCTCCGCCGCGCGATTCCACGGCTCCTTGTTCAAACTCAAGTAATTCCCCTCGAAGAATATCACCCGACACGACGCCGGGATCAATATATCGTCATCAACTGGGTCCTTTACCGCATGATCAAAGCTCGGTGCATACAGACTCTGCGTCTCGGGCGTCACCTGCTCCCGCAGCGCCCGGACCAGCTGCAGAAACTTCTCCCCGTCAAAGGTGAATGCTGCGCCGCGGCGCGCGATGGCATACGCCGGGTCAGGCATCTCGGATAGCTGTGCCCGGGTTAGATGGTAGCCGTCCATGGGCACGTTGGTTGCGACTTGTGGTGATTCGGGGTGTTGCGTTAGGTAGCGCCGATTGATGCGGTTGGCCATCATGGTAGCCAGTTCTGTCTTGCCTGAGCCGGGTATCCCGCTGATGGCGATTAATAGGCGGGTGTCTTTGGGTGTGGATTGGAATTTGTCTGGGGAAACCTGGTTAGTTTTTGCGGGGGTGATGGGGTGCTGATTGCGGAGCATTGTTGCCCTCCTTCGTCCGGGGAAGAGGTGACTTACTCCAGATTTTATCGACTAGTCGGTTCACTTGGTCGTCCATTATTGGTGGTGTATTATTTATAGAGGGAACAGATACGAAGAAAGTGAACTGGGGAGAAGGTATTATATGGATTCAAGGACAGAGATCCGTGGTCCCGTGCATGCAAAGATTGGGGTCTCTTTGAAGAGCGGAAGATGCTGGATGGGCGTTAAGAGATTTGCTATGGGGAAACCAGATCGGAGAGACACTTCCTCGGTACCTGTACCGAGTGATGGGCGACAAACAGGAGGATGGCAGTTCTGGGAGACAGCGAGAAGCTCCGACGGCGGGCTCGATGGGATAAATAAGTCGGCGGGGCTTGTCGTCAGAGTGGGGGCTCGCGATCGCATTGACTCCGGCCGGGCCAGCGATAGTGAGATACGTCACAGGGGACCGGCTAACTTATCAGGCACCGTGTGGTTATACTTTGTAGGCTGTGGATGAAGTAAACTCGTCATGTTTTTGGGTACTTTTTGTATATCTCAAGATTCCAGCTGGTGGAGCATAGATGGTAATGCTTATGTGGGATATTCAAATGCCGTTCTCACTGCCATTGAAGGAACAACTGGTCAATGCATGAGGTCACATGTCCACGGCTAGCAGCAACTTGAAGTATCTCATCCCAGGCTAAGCTGATACGACTCCTACTACTTCCAATACCTTGATTAAATCACACCAAATGACATTAGACAAGCCAGGTTATATGAGTACAATATGTGCCCGGATATGCACTTTAGATCAATTCCATCTCATAATGGGTAATTCCCGTCCATAACTGATTCAGCCGATTGACCCTGGCTGAGACACCATAACGCCAAACAAGAGACCCCCGCTAAGAACAACTCAAAACCACAAGCATCCCCAGATGACCTATTAACTAAATTCTCGGTATCTAACACAGTGACAGAAAGGTACATGATCACCTCGACCTGAGCGGTCCATCCACGCTATCAGTGTCGTTAGTGTCATCGTTCGCGCCGAGCCGGCGGCCAAGGGTGCGGGACAGTCCAGCTGCCGCCCACCATTCTTCGGGGATATCCTCGCGACGAGCAAGTCGATCTAAGATGGCTTGCATCTGCTGCAGGTCTGGATCGGTAGAAGTAGAAGAGGAATCGGAGAATGCAAAGGAGATGGTAGGGATAGGAGGGTGGTTGCTCATGGTTGACTGGAGATGCTGAGCACGTCTCAGTGACTCCATCTGGCGAACACGACGGTAGCGGCGGAACAATGCGTTGGAAGAGATTCCTGTTTCGGAATCGCTATCGGAATCGCTGGAGCTTGAATAGTCACAGGGATTTAAGAACTCGGGATATGGATCAAGAACCATCTGGACAGTGCCCGTGCCCGTGCCTGATTCCATAGGGTTCGACATCTGCAGCGAGGTTGCCGAACTTGTGGATGTCCCGACGGTCGAAGCATTCGTTCCAGAAGCCGATGCGGACGTGAAGGACGAATCAGCACTAGGAAGATTGGTATCCGGCGTGATCGTGGTAAGGAGAGTCTCCCATGCATCGTTGGCATGATCGTCATCTGGACTCAGACTTCTCTGTCGGTCACCAAGACCATCAATAGCCGACTCGCGGTTGGGACGATTCGCCTCATTAATCGATCGTTCACCGACACGTCGCAGGGTAGGGAAGCCCGCCGAGATAGAAAGATCGCTTCCAAGACCATCGGGTCGAAGGAATGGGGATAGACGAGCAGCTTCTGGGCGCGCTTGGGGAGACGCAGTCCTATGGTATGCAATCGCAGGAGCAAAACGCGGTGTGAACTGGGGATGAGTCTGGTCAGGCCGGTTGGTGGTGTCATCACCCGGCGATGGACGATTGTATAGATCGGGCAGGGCCGAGCTGCGCGGTATCCTCAATCGCTGACCAGGCCGCCCATGACGGAGCGCATCGCTCAGCAGTCGCTGGCCGGCTTCGCGTCTATCGGAATCCAGGAGGCCGCGGGCCAGGTCGAACGGGTCGTCGGCGCTGCTAGAGTTCGAAAGCGGAGAGCGCACATGACGCTGAAGACCATTCGCCTCACGCTCAATCTCATCTACTAGCGGACGAGGGAAAGGCGACCGGAGGGTTGCGCTGCGCAAGGCGGAGCCGCCATAGCGCGAGGGACGACGAATACTAGCCTGGCGACGAATTGCGGAGCGCGCAGTGGCACACGGGTCTTTGACGGGATTGTTCTTCGGAGCATCTGCGGAGGACTCGCAGAACAGTCTGCATCATGTCAGTCAGATATGACAGCCGTTCCGTGCGCTCTTGGCCGACGGAGTCGCGCGTAGAATCCCGACAGCGGCGAGAGTTGTGTAGGGTAAGAAATTGTGGACTCACGGAATACCCATGGCTACAGAGGATGAGAAAAGAAAGGATAGGGAGCGACGGTCCAGACAGGGAGGGAGATCAAAGAAAGAAGCCGCATCCAGAAGTAGCGTGAAGTGACGCGAGTCCTTAAATGGAGAGGGCCAGATTGCGGGGACAGCGACCAGGGCGATGTGTTGATGGAGAAACGGCGAGATTTGGTTTTCCTCGTAAGGGTAAAAAGCGGAGGCGAAGAGATTTCGCGCCTGAGGCTTGCGGTCGTAGCGCCGCGGGTTGGCCTGAGGGAATCATTGGGGGATCCTGGGTGGCTGGGAGAACCGGTGGTGGCGCCCTAATGATCATCCGCGTACAATCTGGTACAGCGCCTAAAGGCTGAAGGGAGGGAAGAGTGAATGATCAATGAGTTGTCAATTGAGATGAATCGTGGCCACTGAATGTTTCACTGACAATGGCATTGATCACAATGCAGGCGATTGACTATTTCCATGGATCAACTTCGAGTATACTCCCTCAGCGTTACTCTGCCATATTGATACCAATTACCTGGATTATTGTCCCGCCGACGGGGGTTATTACGTACGGTAACGACCGCTTCCGGCCTCGGCTCTCACTGCCTTAGGCATTAATCCTTATCGGTCGGCACCTGACAGCTCCCCGATGATTATCTTACCCGAATCCCGCGGGCAACTCAGATTGGCGCAAGTTTTCTGGAGGTCAAATAGATAACACACTTTTCCCCTCCATGACCACCTCGTCCCTCATCTTCCTCTGATCATGAGGATTGGTCTCTTTCAACTATCAATCATCACATACTTGGAGGGATGATTGAGCTCGGTCTTAGTCGCATAGTCCGCCTTCTCCAGCAGACGCCGCTGACTTGGAAGGCAATCCATATTGCTGGCACCAATGGCAAAGGGTCCATCAGCGCTTATCTCTCCCACCTGTTGTCGACGGGTGGTGTTCGCTGTGGCCGTTTCACCTCCCCGCATCTGATTGATCGTTGGGACTGCATCACTATCGGCGAGAAAGTCGTTCAAGAGTCACTCTTCCGGCAGATCGAAGCTAGAGTCAAGCTTCGAGATCAGACGCTGGGAATCGGTGCGAGCGAGTTTGAGCTACTGACTGCAACTGCATTCGAGATATTCAATCATGAGCGCGTTGACATTGGGGTGGTGGAGGTGGGCATGGGCGGTCGCCTGGACGCAACGAACATCCTGACCGACGTCTTGGTCTCGGTCATCGCGAAGATAGGCCTGGACCATCAGTTCCTCCTCGGCGATACTATCGAAGAAATCGCAAGGGAAAAGGCTGGAATCATGAAATCAGGTGTTCCATGTGTTGTAGATGGTACCAATTCGCCTGAAGTGCTCCGAACCCTCGAAGACCACATCAAGGAACTTGGCATCGACGCGATCTTCACACGCCCCGATACTCCAGAGTATCACTCCCCATCGCTCGGTCGGCTCTTTGCTACACTCGATCTCCTACCTCACCAGCGAGCGAACATGTCCTGTGCGGTTTCGGCCTTGAAACTTGCCCTGTCTCGATTTCGTCCCGACATCGACGTCGATGTGCTCGTTCCACAACTGTCAAAAGTCGAGTGGCCGGCGCGCCTACAAAAACTTGTTCTGAAACCATTGGCAGATCGTGAAGAGCCTGTTCTGCTGGATGGTGCCCACAATACTCAGTCGGCGGAGGTTCTCGGAGAGTATGTGGATTACAGACTTCGTCCGCAAGGTACGAACGTCACCTGGGTCATCGCGGCCTCCCGCGGTAAGGATATAGAATCCTTGTTTCATTCTATAATCAAGGCGGGCGATCGAGTCGCGATCACCGCATTCGGACCCGTGGATGGCATGCCCTGGGTCAAGGCCAATGATCCAGAAGAGGTGGCTTCATGTGTCCGATCAATCGCGGGTATTGGACAAGTGCAAACCTTTGGGGAAGACATCTCCGGCGCTATCCATTGGGCTTGTGAACAAGCTAGTGGCGGCCCATTGGTCATTGCTGGCAGCCTCTACCTGGCGTCGGATGTTCTACGTCTTCTCCGGGAAGCACAAAAGCAATTATAAGTCATGGCATCAGGACCAATGGTCTTTAGTGACAGAGATACCCTTTTCCATCCGCAGCGTTTTGGCGTATCTGTAAGTATATAAGCATACATTAGTTAGTTCAACGGAAGTGCATTTCCTGTTCCGAGGACCTAATCTTGTAAATCACCAATGCGCAAACCAGTCTTGCGACCTGCATATATACAGTGCAGCACTACATTGCAGTAAGAAATAACACATTAATTCCATGCTACGATTTGCAGAGGAGTAACTGCACAGCTCGCATCATAGCGGGTGTAAGTGATACGGTGATAAGGCTGATCGGAGATCCAGCAGCGGCCGGGCGCTGCGTCATGGCCTAAGCCAGCTGGTGGTGGTCTGTGGGGAACAAGAGAAAAGGAAAGTTCAAAACACCCGCCTGTCCTGCATTTGCTCCGGCAGGCACAGCAGTCCGTGACTTTTCGTCGGTCCTTTCGCAAGCATCTGGTTGGATATCCGTGAGTCTTTCTGACAAGCGGACGATTGGATTTGCTTTTCTGGAGGGGAAATTCGATGTGTAGAGACGCGTTGAACCGGACGCGGCTCTCTCTTGACTGCGAGGACAAAGATCGTTCCTGTATGTTTTTTTCTTTCGTCTGAATCCACCATGAGATCATGCCATACTTTCTGCGGAGTTCAGCGCAGATTCATCTTCCTGCTGCATCTCATAATGTGTCTGAAACCTACTAACAAGATCTCTCCTGTCTGGATAAATAGTTCGTGCTGACATGAACGATCCGATCGGTTCTCTGGCGCCTGCCTTTTCTACACCTTCCCTCGTCGTCTAAGCCTACAGTTGTCGGAACCCGAGTGCATCCAGCTGCTGAGTGTCAGTTTAAACAAACAGCGAAAAGGGGACCTCGATCCACCCGCTGCGCGACCATGGTTTCCCGGTCCAGCGAAGCCAGTGAGGGGCCGCCGCCACCTTCCAAGGCCTCCGGTACTCCAGCCAAAACGCGACTGTCGAGACTCAACTCCAGCCCGGCCAAACAAGACAAACCGAAGGATGATAGGGTTGTCAAATCGTCTGCTAAGGATGTCGCGGAGCTTAAGGATTATGTATGGATTACGGCTTTCCCTGGTTCCCGTGATGGGAGTGGCTAATGGTGACTTAATGTAGCAATTGGGCGACTGCCTGGGTAAAGGCGCCTTTGGGTCGGTCTACAGGGCCCTGAATTGGAATACCGGGGAAACAGTCGCTGTGAAGCAGATCAAATTGGTGGATTTGCCGAAAAGTGAACTACGAGTGATCATGGTAATATCCCTCCGGTCGCCGCTTGTCGAGTCGCTGTCCGCTAACGCCGAGTGTTGCAGTTGGAAATCGATCTCTTGAAGAATCTAGATGTGAGATGCGACATCCGATCATGTCCCTTGTCACCCGAGCTGACCTGTGATTGTAGCACCCCAATATTGTGAAGTATCAGGGGTTCGTGAAGTCTGCGGAAACTCTAAATATCATTCTTGAGTATGTACCTTCGCATTGATTGCTGAAGCCATGATCCGTGTAGCTGACGAGACAGATACTGTGAGAATGGCTCTTTACACTCGATCGCAAAGAACTTTGGGCGTTTCCCAGAAAACCTGGTTGGTCTTTACATGTCTCAGGTGCTCCATGGTCTTTTATATCTGCACGAGCAAGGTGTCATTCATCGAGACATCAAAGGAGCCAATATCCTTACAACGAAAGAAGGTCTGGTCAAGCTTGCAGATTTTGGTGTGGCCAGCAGGACCACTGGGCTTAGCGAGTCCAGCGTCGTTGGGACGCCGTATTGGATGGCTCCGGAGGTGATTGAACTTTCTGGTGCGACGACAGCTTCAGATATTTGGAGTCTTGGTTGTACCGTGATCGAGCTTCTGGAGGGTAAGCCTCCTTACTACAATCTCCAACCTATGCCGGCTCTATTCCGCATTGTCAATGATGACCACCCTCCCCTTCCTCAGGGTGCTTCTCCGGTCAGTTTCCTGCCCCAATTTCCGTTCTCAATATCTCATTAGTATCCAGGCTGTCAAAGACTTCTTGATGCAATGCTTCCAAAAAGATCCCAATCTTCGTGTTTCCGCCAGGAAGCTCCTTAAACACCCATGGATTGTCAATGCTCGCAGGTCTGATTCCGTGGTTCCCAAGAAATCCACCGAGTATGAGGAAGCAGTCAAGAGTGTTCAGGAGTGGAACGAAGCTCTCCGTTCTCCGGATACTGGAACCCTGCGGAAGCCGTACAGATACGACGCTCAAGGTGCTGCTCTGCGCCCCGAAATGGCTCCATCTCGGTATACACCAACAAAGGATATTCTTCCCAGCCCGGTGTCCAAGCATGTGACAGATCGGTTCCGCTCGCCGGACTCCACAGAAGAAGACAATTGGGATGATGACTTTGCTACTGCCATCTCTCCCAGCGCGCTGCAGCTTCCCCACCTGCGACCACAGGACAATTTTGGCGGAATGCTTTCCTCCGAAAAGCTGAAGGCGTTTGCATCCCTAGATGGTACAGTGCTGAAGTCAGAAGACGGCTTTGATGACTTCGATGATCCTTTCTCTCAACAGCCCGGTGAATCGGATCCTCTTCGGACCATTCGCCCTTACTCGGCCAAACCAACCGGGATGGAGAACATGCCACAGCAGACAAAACCCACAATAACTGCAATGCACCACAATGTACCTGTTCTCAAGACCCCTGTGCCACCATTAAGACCGCAGCGCCCGACATCGTATTTCAAAGAGAACTCGGTTGAAGACTACTCCGACCTCATCTCTGCAAATGAAGATATCTTGGATGATAAGCTCAGTGCATTCCAGGTAAGCATGTCCCCTGCTGGGTTATTAGTATGCGTTTCTTATGCATCTCAGGATATCGACGAAGAGGGCAGCGATATATCAATCCCCTCACCCTCGAAGGAGGTAGTCCGGTATCAGGCATCACCGGATCGTGATGAAGATCATCAGCCGCAGCTTAGGAAACGGATATCTGTCAAGCGCCACCGATCAGCAATAGAAATACAAAAGTTCGCAGAAAATGAGCGAGACGAAGACTTCTCTGACATTCTAGGAGCTGATGAGGTTGCCTTGGATAAGCCCGAAAGCGATGAGGGCTCAGATCGGAGTACGCTGATGTTGAACTCAAAGCTATCGAACAATTCATGGCTTGGTGATCAAGATGATGAGGACGATCCGTTCGCCCAGCTCGAAGAAGGACTCGATGAGGTGGATCTGGAAGCTAACATCGCGCGTGACAAATACGCACGTCTACGGGGTCAAGTCGAGGGTCTTGTCAGCTCTTTGAAGACGTCTCAAGATGAAGATGTGCTTGGAGAAATCTCGGAGCAACTGCTAACCGTGTTCTGTGACCTTCCAGAGACGAAGAACATCATCATTAGCGCTCACGGGATGCTACCGATTCTAGAAATCCTTGACATTTGCCGTCGGCGCGACATCATTCTGTGCTTGTTGCGGATTGTCAACGCCATCATTTTCAATGACTATGAGATCCAAGAGAACCTCTGTTTCGTTGGAGGTATTCCAATCATTAACGAGTTTGCCTCCAAGAAATATCCGAGAGAGATTCGACTAGAAGCAGCAGCCTTTGTGCAGCAGATGTATCAAACATCTACTCTTACCCTACAGATGTTTGTCAGTGCTGGAGGTCTCAATGTATTGGTCGAGTTCTTGGAAGACGACTACGAAGATGAACGCGATCTCGTTCTCATTGGGGTGAACGGTATCTGGAGCGTTTTTGATTTACAGGTATGTTCGACCGCAGATTAACCTGCTCGTTCAGACGCTGACTCGATTTAGGGTTCGACGCCGAAAAATGATTTTTGCAGGATTCTATCACGCAATTCTGTCTTGGATCCCTTGTCACTTGTTTTGAGCCGAGTCTTGGACGAAGAAGGAGAATTGGCAGAAATCGTGGAAGGCCGGATAGCCAACATCTTTTTCATTTTCTCGCAGGCCGAGAACCACGTCAAGGAAATGGTTGCTGAGCGAACAGTTCTGCACAGTAAGGCATCGAGTATACAATTCAAAACACTCCGCTAATCTGTCTCAGGGGTCCTGAAAGAGCTGAAGCGGATGACGCCCGCACACCAGATCACTATGTTGAAGTTTATCAAGAACCTGTCCATGCTTTCAACAACTCTCGACTCGCTCCAGAACTCCAACGCCATCGACGTGCTTACGGACTTATTGAGGTCGACGATCAAACGGCCGCACTTCCGGGAAGTTAGCAACCAGATTCTCAACACTATCTACAACATGTGTCGTCTGAACAAGTCCCGCCAAGAGGATGCGGCTTTGAATGGCATTGTACCACTTCTTCAAAAGATTGTAAAGACCGAGCGGCCCCTCAAAGAGTTTGCGTTGCCGATTCTCTGCGATATGGCGCATTCAGGAAAGGTCGGACGGCGCGAACTATGGCGCAACAAGGGTCTGGCTTTCTACATTTCTCTGTTGTCGGACCCGTACTGGCAGGTGACCGCATTGGATGCTATATTTACTTGGTATGTGTTGGCACCGTGTGTAGTGAGAACCGATCTAATTCTTTGGCAGGCTCCAGGAAGAAACGGCCAAGGTCGAGGAACACCTTTTGGATAACCGCTACGACAAGATGTCCTTTACGGATTCCATTGTCAGGTGCTTGACGATTTCCAAGGCGAACGCCTTCGAGAACATTCTCGAGCCACTGCAAAAGCTTCTGAGACTGAGTCCGCCTATTGCCTCGACATTCGCGCGTCCTGATCTCTTCACGAGGCTAGGGCAGAAATTACATCACAACAAAGCCGCTGTTCGGCTGAACCTCCTGCGTATTATCTCGAGCATCTGCGATTCTAGCGAAGAACAAGGTGGCCTTCTTGCGAAATATGGTCTTTTGGAAGCAATCCGGGAATTGGAGCATGACCCGGCCATTCTGGTCAGAGACATGGCTGGCAAGCTGATCCAATCCAATGAGCGCAGTGAATCTTTCAGTCTCGAGAAGCGCAAGCCTGGTATGAGGCGCAAGAGCACGTCTACCACGCCCCCAGGCTACCTTGCGAACCAGTCTGCCCCAGCCACCCCACAGATCAATCGGTTCAACCAACCCAAGTCTTATTTCGATGGACGGGAAAGCCAGCGACACCCACGGCCCTCCCTTAGCAGCTCGGCTCTGGCATTACGACCAGGCAGCAGGGATGGCACTAGCCCCGCTCTGTCAGCTGGGCTCAGCAGCAGCGCCGGCCCGTCGAGGAACAGACTATCGCGAGGAGTGGCTAACAGGCTATCACAAGTAGAGCTCCTGGCCGAGGAGGAGACTCGACCGTCGAGTTCACTCTCCCGTCGACGTTCCATCCTTCCTCAGCGCCGACGACCCACGCATGCTGATTCGGACTGGGCGTCCTAATGAACCTCATGCTGGGCCAAGGTGCGGTGATTGGCTCATGGGTAGACAGGAGACTGTGGAAGTAGATGGATACATAGTATTTGCATTGCATAGGATTGGAGTACTGGGTTTGTTTGTGAATTGCTTTGACTGTGTATACACATTCATTTGTCGATGTGCTTTCAGGCGGAGATGGGATCTCTCTCAGGCTGGTATTCGGGGTACAGGAAGACGGAACTGTCAGGGAGGGGAAATGGCCCATGTAGATAATCATGGATAACATACGAGTGCGATTTTAGTTCTTCTTTTTCGAGCTTTATCTAAAATATAATGACTTACAGTAGTTCATACACAGTAACGGCAATCCCGAAGTGGCGGCCAAACGGGGCTGATCGGCTTCCGATGCAGAAGTGCGACGAAAATGCGCCGCGGCGGCCAACCAGTGAACTTCTCCGCCGCATCCTCCCTCCTCATCCTCCTCCTGCAGACTTTCCTCCTCCCCCTACAATTGTCCTCGAGGGCTTCGTGCTGGCACGGATGATCCACGCCGTCCGATTGACTGCTGTTCTCGACTTGTGGTCGCTCCCCAGACGGCATTGTTCGAGTTCGGGATGAGGGCGGCGCTCCTCCGCATTCCGCTGCGGGCTTCCAATTTTGATCCTGCGGCGGTCATACGATCGGCTTCGAAGCCTTCTCTCGCCTGCCACCCTGGCAATTTCGCCCCGTCGTCCTTGATTTCCTGTCGGTTGATTTCCAACTCCGTTACTACACCTCCTGCATCATTCTCGAAGCGCTTCTCCGGTCGTATCTCCCAGTCGATTCCCCGGGCCACTTACGCCACCCGCACGTCTCCGTTGTCTGAATCGGCGAATTCGGGACAAAGTGATGGAAAGCATTCGGGATCCGGTCAATCGCGCAACAAGGCCATCAAGTATGCTGTGATTGGAGGCACCCTCGTGGTTGGAGCAGTGGTGTTTTCGGACCAAGTTCAACACTTCTACCGTGCCGCTGCGAGAACTGGCCGAGTGGTTGGCACATTGGCGGTTTGCATTAACGAGTAAGTGGGAACCATACATATATACCCCTGAGGCTATACTGTCGGTATACTTATGCGTCTTGATTCATGCAGCTACCGGGTAACTCTCAAGCAAGAAACCTCCACGCCGGAGGAACGAAGCGAAGCCATTCGGGCCTGTCACAAACGTTGCGCGGAACGGACTCTACGGGTTCTCGAGAAGAATGGATCGATCTTTATCAAGTTGGGACAGCATTTGAGTAGCATGGGCTACCTGCTTCCGTCGGAATGGACTACAACCTTTATCCCGCTCCAGGACAAGTGCCCCGTGTCATCGATTGAATCGATCGAGGAAATGTTCGTGGCCGATACAGGACGTCGTATCGACGAGTTGTTCTCGTCGTTCGATTCCGAGCCTATTGGTGCCGCTTCTTTGGCGCAGGTGCACATTGGTACGCTGAAGGAAACAGGTCAGAAGGTTGCGGTCAAGGTGCAGCATCCCGCATTGGCGGAGTGGGTGCCCCTGGATCTGGCCTTGACTCGGTTTACTTTTTCGATGCTCAAGCGGTTCTTCCCTGAATACGATCTGGAATGGCTCTCTCGTGAAATGGACCTGTCTCTGCCCCAGGAGCTGGATTTCCGAATGGAGGCGGAGAATGCCACGCGGGCGAGCGAGTACTTTAAGAAGCACTCGGATGCCCCGTTGGTTATTCCTGAAGGTATGCCTCGACAATCACAGTCGCTTTTGCACAAGAAGTGCATACTAACATTAGCCAGTGATGTGGTCCCAAAAGCGTATCCTGGTCATGGAGTTCATCTCCGGCCGACGTCCCGACGACCTTGAATTCCTCGACTCGAACCACATTGACCGCGACGAAGTCTCCGCTGCTCTGGCACACATCTTCAACGAGATGATCTTCGGTAATAACGCACCTCTGCACTGCGATCCTCACGGCGGCAACATCGCCATTCGTCCGAACCCCAACCGCCGCCGGCACAACTTCGACATCATCCTCTACGACCACGGTCTCTACCGCGACATCGACAAGGACCTGCGCCGCAACTACGCCAAGCTCTGGCTAGCCGTGATCGAGTCCGACCTGCCGCGCATGCGCGAGTATGCGCGCAAGGTTGCCGGAATCACGGACGAGCAGTTCCCGCTCTTCGCCAGTGCCATCACGGGTCGCGACTACATGGTTCTCCAGAAGAAGGATATCGTATCTGCTCGTACCTCGGCCGAACGAGAGAGCATGTCCGGCTCTTTGGCCGATGGTCTGCTGCAGCAATTAGTCGAACTTCTAGGCCAGGTACCTCGGATTATTCTACTGATCCTCAAGACCAACGATCTGAGTTAGTCCCACACTTCCCTCCCCTTCTTATCTACCTGCCTCTAACCAATGATGTCAAAAAAAAATAGCCCGCAGTCTCGACGAGAACCTCCACACCCGTCAAGGACCTATGCGCACCTTCCTCATTCTCGCCCGCTACGCCACCCGCACTGTCTTCGAAGAGCAAATGGACTCTGTCAATGAGACTGGGGGTATCCTCCGTCCTGGGAACTTCTGGCGCTTCCTCTGCGCTTGGACTGGGTATCTGCGCGTGGAGATGAAGTTGTCTGTTTATGAGACGTTGCTTTCATTGAAGAGTCGGTTCGGGTTGGTTTGATTGATTGTATATTCTTCTCTTTCTCTTCTTATTCTTTCCTTCTCACCTCTACTCTTTACCCCTTTCACATTATCCTTGGTTGGACTTCCCTGCTACGCAGTAATTGATCGATATCGATATAGAGGGCATATGCATGCGGTGTTGTGCATTGGCGTTTCTCTTTTCCTTTTCCATTACCTTTTCTTATTTCAGTTATTCCACCTGATATCGTCATTTCAGACTTGACTTTTCTCTCATCGTTTGTTTGTCCATTTCAAATTATCTGGATCTTGAAAAGAAAGCCGTGCTCTGTCTGTATTTTATACATATATAGAATTTTTATTTTATTATCTTGCTATCTTTTATATACTAGATACATTATATATTAGATATATATACTAGTTACCACTCTCTAGGATAAATCAAAGTAATCCTCTTAGGTACTAGATACATAAACAGGTACCCAGTATTCAACTTGGTAAGATAGATAAAATAAGTAGTAGGTAAGGTACCTTGGTAGCCACACCCCTTGCACATCACTCCCAAATCAGACGAAATAATCAAATCAACACTAGTACTACACTTATCTAATAAATAAATCTGTCACGTCTGCAGAATTTATCAGATCTAATCATTGCATGCATGCGTGCGTACCTTGTTAGATACTTCACGCACAGACTACTACTGTCATAGTAGTTAGAGCTTAACTACTGTGTGGCTATGCTAAGTTGCTTATCAGATGGGGCTTTTCCTTCTTTGTGTTACTTACTTGTCATGTCACTGTAAGTTGTCTGTGCTGTGCTGTGCTGTGCTGCATGATGTCAGTGGCCATAGCTGAGTTGAAGGGTGGAGGTGGCGAATCAGATAACCACTCTTATTTCCCTCTCTTTTTGTTTCGATGGTTTTCTATCAATCTACTGTATATACTACATTGTGATGATTACATTCATCTCGATAGATAGAGAGGAGTACATTTTATTGTGTAGTGTATGTACTACTGTGATTGATGATGTTGATGATGTTGTTGTATATATCTGAATAATCAATCCCTTCTTTAGTTGCTTCGCCGGAAACACAATGAGTAAAGTGAAACGAGTCATGAAAAGGGAAAAGAAGAATAATGAAATGCTATACACCGTTTAATAAACGAAACAAAAGGAAAAAAAAGTCCATCCAATCCAGACTGACTGACTGACTGACAAGAAACAGGTTATTTTGTGGGAATCACATATTCGGCCCAGACCATTCCACTCCACTCCACCACAGGCCAAATCCATACAATCAATCACATCTCCATTGTATCATTCTGCTTCGCTCTTCTCTCCAGGGAATCAATCATGGTATCTGTATCCGTATCCGTATCCATTTTTGCTCCGTATTTTTATGATTTTTCAGATTTTTCACTCGTTCGTTAAAACACCTAAGAGAAAACTTAAGCAGTAGCGCTGCTGGTCTTCTCAACCTCCACCTGCACCTCAGGGATAGAGGCGCCCGTGCCGGACAGATCGGTCTTCACGGTGCGAGGGTTCTTGGTGTAGTAATCCGAGATGGCGGACTTGATGGCGTCTTCGGCAAGCATAGAGCAGTGCACTAGAATTATATGTTAGATCTTATCATCACTTGCCCAAATTCTTTCAGAGCTCTCATCTCCAGGAACAAGGGGGAACGTACGCTTGACAGGAGGCAAGCACAGCTCCTTGGCGATATCGGTGTTACGGATCTTAGCGGCCTCGTCGAGGGTCATTCCGCGGACCAACTCAGTCAGATAACTCGAGCTGGCAATAGCGCTACCGCAACCGAAAGTCTTGAACTTGACGTCGCTGATCTTGTTGCTGTCCTTGTCGACGCGGATCTGAAGCTTCATGACATCGCCACAGGCCGGGGCGCCGACGAGACCGGTACCAACATCCATAGACTTGGCCATGGAGCCGACGTTTCCTATAGAATGCTCGTTAGTATTCGTTTCTGGGCCTTTTTATTTGTGTATGCGTCAAGTGGGCGTGGTTTGAATGCGCTGCATGTTGTATATCTTGATGCGATGACATCTTGTCGAGGGATGGACGCAGGAAGCTACCTACTTGGGTTGGAGTAGTGGTCCAACAGTGCAGGGATGGTCAGTATTTTCTTCGATGCAAAAAAAGGGAGAAATGGTAGACATATCTTTCTCATGGTATCCTCTGCGCTGCTGCTGCTGAGGAGCAACAACAGTCGACCTCACGGCTTGCTGGATTCCGGAGACGGCCGGGGTGACGCTGCGAGGCGAAAGGACGCCGGAGCGAGGAACAACTGTTACTAGACGACGGAACATTGTGTATGTGATGTGTGTGGTGAATTAAGAGGAGAGTAAGGTATTATTTAGATAGTAGATTGATGATGAAAAGGACAGATGAGTGGTGATGTCGGGGTTGAGTGGTTAAGTTAGTTAGGAAGAGTAGGGTGTGATGAAAGATTGATAGTTGCGATTGATTAATTATGGTTTCTTTGGGGGGGGAAACTTGACTAAGGCCGTCTTATTCACCGGCGCTAGGCGATTTCGAGAAACCCCGTTGCCTCCGCGGAGCCGGCCTCGGAGATAGGGTATGACGTTGAAGCGAACCAGTGGGTGGGATTAGGGAGGTATGCTGTGTATTGTTACTTGTCTGGAATACCCGTGGATGGAAAAGCTATCTGATTGAATAATAGGGGATGACACGTTCTACCAGAAGAATCGCTGTTGGGAAAGGATGGAATGCCAGTTCTGTGGCCTACAACTGAAAGGGTAGGCGGGAGTTGTAGTTCTGGGTCCGCCGGTTCTTAACCAAGAAGAAGAACCGGCAGTTTCGGCCAACGGGAAGTTCTGCAGGCGGGCATTACCAAGCGGTACGGAGCAGCGCAGCGGCTGGTATCGTAAGGATGGGCTTATCTGCTCGCCCTCCATCTGATAATGTTTCCTCCTTTCCCTATCGGATTATTCCGGCCCGAGGATGTGTCTCTCTTTCACACCCTGCAGTTTGCTCTAGAACCATTCTCGTTAGTAAGAACCTTTGCTTAGTTGTTTACTTAGACGGGTTAAGTTATCCCGGATGACTTTGGTCGAAAAGCGTATCTTCCTGGCCACCAGTCAAAATTCCTATTTACAAGAAAGAAAGAACGTAAACCATGGCCGGAAAGACACTAGGCCGATCATCGGGCGTGAGTCACTCTTTTCATCTTCTTATTCCTTTGCAATTATTAGTAGTGGTAGTAGTTGCTGGTTTGATCCCATGACAATTGCTGCGAAAGTATATATTCGGTTTCTATTGAACAGCACACACTCTGGATGATCACCATTTGACTTACCTTAGTAATTAACATACTATCTATGAACAGTCCCTCAATGCCCCAATAGCCGCCTTCACCATGGCCCTTCTGCTTGGCTCCTACTGCATCAAATCCATCCACACCGCTCGTCGCGAGGCACAATCCACATCAAGCACCGCAACCACTACAGCCCGACCTACTAAGAAGGCAGATTCGCAGTCTTCATGGGTACAGCAGGCACTGGAAGAGAGTCGAGAGGGGGAGAAGAAGTGATTCAGTTGGGGTAGAACTGAGTTTATATCTTACAAATTAGCGTTGTATATACTACTACTTATTGCTTCATGTCTGGGATATATTTTCTCAAATTTTCATTGCATTGAATCGGCACACATAACAATTGATATGAAATGGCTAATATCAGCACCACAAACACAACACATCAACATCATATCAAATTAATCCATTATCAGAATTTTCAGTGTATCAATGATCATATCCCATATCCATGGCGGATAGCAGGATCTACCATTAAAAAATTATTCATCATATAAATGGAGTCAAATGATAATAACCACCAAAACAAAAAAGAAAAACAACGATTCAATCGTAGAGAAGAATAGCAAGTCGAATATGCATCAATCATCATCATCATCATCATCATCATAAGCACAAACACATTATTGCGCAATAGAAGAATGATATCAACCAACAGTGTCGGTTAATATGGCTTTCATTATAGCCATGGTTGGTGGGAAGGAAACAAACCGCACAGAGAATTTCGCCGGTGGTTTTTAGTGTGACTATCACGTGACTTTCCCGCTGATGTCATGTGGGAAACGGACGGAGAGAGGGAATGCAGCTGTGTGCATGGATGATGGATGTAATGCCCCCGATTATCTTCATTAGATTAGCTGCGTAGTTGTTTTCCGAATGTTGAATGCTATTTATCTTACTACGGAGCATATGTTCTAGAGGGAAGATTTGTATGTATATACAATCGCAATTGAGGTTTATCGATCCGGGAGAAAAAAAGACAAGAACGCTCAGAACCATAACCACCAAGGATTCAACAACTCAGAAAAAGACTAGTTTGTTTGGAGTTTCACATGTCAACAGCACATCATACATCTACCCCTACTCCGCAGGGGTGTATCGCTGTGCCGAGGATGTGTCGAAAGGATCAAAAACAACGTGCAGGCAGGATATCATGGGCTGCAGCCCAGGAAATGAATGTCCTCTATAGTAGTGTATCTTCGCGATGTACGACTAGCACGGAACAGAAATAAAATCGCTAGGGTGCAATAAAATCCCAGCTCAGGTGCGATGCCCATGGCTCGTCACCTCGTCACAGACCATCCATCTAGTAACTAGATTCCATTGTCTGATGCGGTCTCCAGCTTCTGCAGCTTCAACTCCCCCTCATGTTGCACATGTCCAATGGTTTTCTTCAAATACTCATAAGTGAGCATGGTAGTCATCGCAGCCGGGACTGCCCGGAACAGGTTGGTGCCGATCCCAGAGTAGAATGCGCGCCAGCCTTCTTCTCTCAGAATGGTCTGGCATGTGCGAATGATCCCCGTGTACCGGGGTCGATTGGGCATCCCGTCCGATGAAGCCGCACCCGGGGGCCTGCTATGACCCTGGGGGTGATCCATGCCGCCGCGGAACGAGATCTCTTCGGGTGAGGACGCCGGTGATGTCCTCTGCTGTGTTTGGAGTCGTGTCCGAAGCACTTCATGTGGGTATGTCGCAGTGCTGGCACAAACCTTACTCAGGAATGTCGCGGATGTAATGCCCACCCAGTGTGAGCTGCCAGTATCAGGATGTTCGCCAATACTATAGCCCGTAAATGCCATCTTCAAGTATTCGTAGAGAGGGAACTGGATGGCCACATGCGCCAGTCCCAGCAGCGCTGGAGTCAGGCCGGAGTAGAACGAACGGATTCCTTCACTTCTGTACATTTTGCGGGCCGCATCCCAAGTGTTTTTGTATTGCCACGGAGCCCGGTAGCCTTCGCTGCTCGACCGGAGGCTCTGTGACATAAGTCGTGTCTTAATCACCCATATCGGATTTGTCGCAAGTGTCGAGCAAGCGCCCGCCGTTATCGAGGCGTAACCTCGTGAAAGCCACCAACTATCTATTCCAAGGTCAGCCCTACCATCGTCAACCCCTGATTATCACTCCTCACCTGTTGTTTCGTAGAAATACTCCCGAGACCGATCATAGACCGCTAAATAGACCGCCCACGTCGGCAGGTATCCCAGGAGCATAGGACCCAATCCTTGATAAAGGCCTCGAATACCATCTTCCCGCCATATTACTCGTCCAGTTCCCAGCATTCCCCGGTACAGTGTCTTAGCCTCGACCGCCTTGCCACCACGTCGTCGCGCGAATCCACCCTGAGCCTGCAACTTGGTCTTGATCACATCGAGAGGACAGGTAACGATCCCCGAGGCGACGCCCGCACTGGCCCCGCAAAACGGTGTGATGTAATAATCCGGCACACGTGTAGCGAGCATTTCGAAGCGATCCAGGAAAGTAGGTTGGGGCGGAGACTCGGCCGATACATGAAGCGTAGACGATGGCGGGCTGTCCGAAGTTGTACCCTGCTGCTCTTGAGAGCCGCTGGCAGCCCCCGACGGGCCATGGCCTTCAGAGAACATCTTTCCAGCCAGCGCTCAAAGCAGTATGCAATCCGTCTACTATGTCACCGAGGGTTCCCGGATCCGAGCATATCGGTGCTCGCTCCGGAACCCAAAAATAACCCGTGTGTCAAATCGTGGTGAGAGGAGAGGAAAGCGTGACGTCGTTCGGGGCGCTGGTAGAACAGGAAAAACTACCCCGAGACAGTGAATTGAAGGGTTTTTCTTTCTCAGAGAGGAGCCGATGCTGCCGGGAGGAGTGGGCGTAATAAGGTTGGCCTATCTGAAGCACAGACGGGGCGGGGTCTGTAGGAGCAACGCAGCTCCCCTATCGGAGTGAAAGGGAATCGAACTAAGAAAAATGTTCAACGGATTGATAATAAGCGGCATGCCCAGTGAGTACAAACCGAAGTATTAAATCAAAGACCGTCGGTGTGAAGTCCGAACAGAAGGGAGCGCCGGTGTTAAGAGGAAGCAGACGGAACAGGACGGAGCAATGAGGACGGGATGAATTGAGCTGGAGGGATTGTCTTAGTCGTATTCCAGTCAGTCAGGTGGAGTGGAGTTCGGGAATGAGTTGAATCTTGTCCGCCTCCAAGCGCGCCGCTTTTTTGGCCTGAGGCACACACACATGGCGCAAGCTGAACCGGTCACGTGGAAGACAGTCCTGACTGTACTTCTCGGAATGATCCCGTATGCCTCAGGCACCAACATCGGATGTTTTTGGGAAAGTCACCCGCCGAACCTCCGTTTTGCACAATCTCCAACGTCGGGCCATCTCCTGCTCAGCTTGACTGACATTTCGCGATCCTCCCCCTCCACACCACCCCGTCAATTGGACCCGATCAACCCCGCTGGGATCATTCACCATGTCCGCTCCCTCCCTCGCCAGCTACATCGTCAAGCGCCCCTTCCTCAAGCGCTGGATGATGCCCATTGCCCAGTGGTACACCGATGCCTCTGGTTACAGGAGACTCGGCTTGAAGTAGGCGACTCCCTTACCTTCCTGGGCGGTTCTCCCGGACCAACATCAGCGACTACGAATCAATGGAAAAGACAATGGATAGATTTCAATTGCGGGGGATATATATATCTCAGCACCCTCCACTTGGCTATCCATATCATGTTCCTGCCGTCGCCCGCTGGTCCGGGCATCACGAACCAACCCATACCCATACCTCCATTGCAGCCATCAACTAACAATCAAACCAGGGCTGATGACCTGATCCCCGAGGAGAACGACGTCGTCCAGAAGGCCCTCAAGCGTCTCCCTCCCAAGGAGGCCTACGACCGTGTCTTCCGCATCCGCAGAGCATTCCAGGTCCGTCCCATACCGAACGAAACCCAACCCAACATACAGAAGAACATAAAAACTAATTTGATATGCGCAAAAATAGTGCTCCATCTCCCACACCCTCCTTCCCGCTGCTGAGCAGACCAAGCCCGAGGAGGTGAGTCGAATTCCCGCGTTCTTTCAACCCGTCAATTGCCCGTTCAGTTTCTCCGCAAAAACGCATCGGCCAATCCCGTAAGCGGGATTTGTAACCCACCTGGGTTACTCCATATCGATGCATATGTTGACTGGACTTGATACATTGTCTTTTTGTTATGATAATTGTCGCGTTTATGACCATATTCACGTGGTGGATGCTAACTGTCGTCGTCCCTCAGGATGTCGAGTACCTGAGCCCCATCATCCGCGAGATCGAGAAGGAGAAGCAGGAGCGCGAAGACCTCGACGCCCTTGTCGTCAGACGGTAGATTATGCCTCTGATGGCTTCGCTGAACTAGATTACTTTTGTTACGGTATACAAAAATGCCGCTGGGGTTTTATAGACGGGCGGGTATCACTAAGTATCAGAGAGAACTACTTGCTGTCCCGGCTCGGCTCGGCGGGCATGCTGCGAAGAAGAGAGGGGGAAGAGAGCATTTGGCTGGTCGTTAATTGAAGCTTTTGATTTATGGTGCTCAATCACGTGTACTGATACTGTACAAATTCACTCGTCATCGTTCTCTAGTTGGCTGTAGCAGACCTATATACGTTCCACACCTTCCGAGTAATGTATATATAGTAGTTCTACACACTATACCATCCGATGCTTGAGATCTATATCCTGTCTGTATATACCAAGTAGTATCTACCCACCCAACACAGCAATATTAACGTCCGTCACTCGCCACATATACCACATGAACAAGCTCCTAGTACTGAGGTCAGACAACAAAACCATTGAAGAAATCAAAGAATATCACATACCTATACGGAGCAAACTTCGCCGCCAGCTCCAACATATCCTTCTCAGGCATATACTTGAACTTACCGCCACCCTTTCCCTTCAACTTGTTTACATCCTTGCCCACAAACACCGCACATCCCCTCCTGCAACAAGTCAGCATCTACCCATCACACCCATCACTACCCACAGATGATGGAGAAAAAGGAACATACTGTACACCCAAATCCCCCGTGGAAAACACATCTATGCGCTTCAGAGCAAAACAAGCAAACATCTCCACAGACCATTTACCCAGACCCCTCACAGCAGTCAACTTCTCCACGAGCTCCTCATCACTAGCATTCAACAACATCCGGGCACTCAGTTCCCCGTTGGCGAACTTCTCCGATAATCCATGTATGTATTCAGCCTTGCGCTGAGACAGACCTGCTGTCCGGAGCGTGGTGATATCCTTTTTGACGATATCTTCAGGTGTGGGGAAGAAGCTTGTTCTTATTGTACCACCATCTTCATCCTTATTATTATTGGTATTGAACAATGCCACAAACTTATCCTTAATCGACTTCGCCGCTGCCCCTGACACCTGCTGTCCGATAATACTGCTAACGAGGCTCCGGAACGGATCGATCTCCTCGGCTAGACCCTCCGGCGTGAACAATGGGCAGGGATGTTCGCGGATGAGCGATTCGAAGCGCGGATCTGTGGCGATCAGGTGTGCGGCTGCTTTCTCCAGAAGTGTGCCTGTTGTGGCGGTGGGACGGGGCCGGCCTGTCTTGCTTGGAGAGGCATCTGCATCTGTGCCTGGGGGGTAGGCGACTAGTGATGAGCCGTGGGGGGTTAGGAGCGTTGCGTTGGTGTGGTGCGGTTCGACGGGTCGGTCGAGTGGGGGAGGGGTCGTTCTGCTGCTGGGGGTGGGGATGGGGTCCCAGATGTTGTTAGTAGTGGTGGTAGTGGTAGTATTAGGTGATTGTCTGCTGTTGTTTGAGCGCGATGATGATGCTGTTGGTGCATTTGTGAGGGGAGAAGCTTGGTCTAGCTTGGGATTCGCATTTAGCTGCGCTTTCTTGCCCCTTGCTGCTGCTGCTGCGGGCTTTCGTGTCTTTGAGACACCGTTTGTAGTTCTGCTGGCTGCTCTCTTTGTTTGAGTTTTTGGTTGCAGATGAGGGATAGTGCTGGTGGTGGTGGTGCTGTTGTTCTTGGACACTGACGCTGCGGTTAGACGAGCGGAGCGTCGTAGGGTCATCATTGAGTCAGTCGCTGTGCAGCAGAGTATATCTTGATTTAGGAAATATGTATTAAAAAGTGATTGAGGTAAGGATATTATTGCTGCTTCTGTTAGTAGATGGTATGGTCAGTCATGGCGGATCGTATCATTGGAGTAGTACTATGATGAGGATGGAGTACATAAGCTCGGGAAGTCACGAGCAGCAAGCTGTCTTAGCAATCAACCTTGGTTGGTTTCCTGTCTTTGTCAATTTTCCATACCGCTTCTTGTTGCGGATTTCTCTGCATGCGTGGTAGTATTCGCTTATCCCCCGCATTTGAGAGATGTGAAACATTATCGCTTCAATTTGAGGTCTTCAATTAGCTGTTGTTGTGTCATATGACATTCCGTGGTTAGACACGCTGTATGTTGAGTAACATAATAAACCTGCAGAATCATGGGTTCTGCGTATGATTAGTCTAAGAAATGAAATCAAGAGTTGATTGTGAATCAAAATATTTCAGAGAATTTTAATTGAACATCATGATGGCGGGATATCGTGAGATTCTAACTGGTGGCAGCTACTCCGTACTGCAAACATGATTGTCTCGTGCCAGGCAGTCCATCCCCTAACTTGAAATATACATTCGTTCTTACAGCCCATACATACTATCCTTTCCCATCCACACTCAATTATGTACGTACAAAGTAGTAAATATAGCCCCATTTACGGTTCGCAGCCAATTTTTCTAGAATAATAAGAATTTGGAATATTTACCCGGTATGGAATCCTCCGGAAAGAGGGGAGCAAAAATACCCAGATAATCTACTAACTATGGATCTCGCGATGCGTAGGGCCGTAGGCATCAATCAACACCATCACTTCTCCTCCACCAAACGTTGCGATTTCATTTATCTGAAAGGAAACTGTCCGATTGGCCATGTTTCACCGGTTGATAAGTTGTAATTCGTAAGGCCTTTTGATCCCGATGGTCGTAGGCATCGCTGCTACATAGTACTACGTATTCCATAGAAGAATATACAATTAATGTGTTGGCCTGGTGGTCCACGATGATAAGATGCGGAAGATCACCGAAATCGCTAACATGACTGGTGTATATTCTTTAGGCTACTTGGTGGGTAAGTAGGACTTTAGAGTCGGACGGAAACGACCGAATGCAGTGAGCTTGCGCGTCATCTCTATAAAAAAAATTTTTTTCTAGAGGCAAAAAAAGACGTTGTGTGCATCCACGTAGGTAAAGTAGTTTTGGGAAGTGTGGCCCAGCCACTAGGTAGGTAGATAACAACTAACTAGACTACTCCGTACGGACCTTCCACAGACAGTGAAGTGCGTGGTGAACCTACAAAGTACCAAGGTATAGATACCCCCTAGAGGAAGCCGGTTCCATGGGATGACATGTTCATCCGTGGTAGGTGATTGGTAAGTAAGGTTCTAGTCCACCAGGTATCTAAAGCAAATACTAACAACAATTGAGCGATGCCTAAAGGGGGCGCAACGACAATCCTCCGCTGGTCGGCGAGTGGATTTTTGCTGTAAGTTAGTATGCCCATCATCCACTGCATCCATCATATTTTGCCCGAATGGGCATTAAACCCCGTATTGGGTACTCCCGTAGACAAATAAGCATCGGTTCATCTATACCGAGCATCTTATCCCGAGAAAAAAAAAAAAGCTTCGCTCTTGCGATGGAGGAGAAGGCATACGTATGTTGCTTTTTTGCCCCGCCCATTGAGGTTCTGAACATCATGGGATCGGGGTGTGGCTAAGAAAAAGGGGGTCGGTATTGGGGCTAGGTTACTATGGTGATGATGGTCGGGGTGAGTTGTCCCATGTCGACAAGCTGATCCGGTCGGTCCCCTTGTACGGGCTTTGATGCTAAAGCTTAAGTGAGCGGATTGGGTCGTTCTAGCCGTGATATAGGGGGTAATTGGGATGGATGATTTATGGTTTGTTATGATGGATAGGGGAGAGTTATGATGTGCAGTGCTCGGCAAAAGTATCTTATGAAGAGGGTGTATCATGAAATGTCCTGGGAGTTGTAGAACGCCAAAATCATTCCGATGCTTTTGGACCTCATTGCCACTGCTGAATGATCTGTCAAAGACAAAGTATACTCCGTCCTCGAACAATTCATTCCCAACCCCTCTACATCATAAGTTGTCATACTGGATGCGTCAGACTGGGAGACCATATTCAATCCTTATCAGGCAAAACAGTGCTAGCCGGTTCCAGCCACCCGCGTCTAGTGGCGTTTGGGAGAACGTGCTCGGTGGTAAGATTTATCGGCTACTTCATTAGTACATGCGCTTTATTACGCAGCGTCAGAAGTGAAACATCGGCAATGAAAGAGGTTGCAGCAGCTTGCCTTGGCCAAGCCGAGGTTCGACATGATTATCATTTGAGAGGCAAAATCGACCAACTCCATCCAAATATAACACCACCGCGAACAAGAAATAGGAAATCTCATTAAAGTCAGTTGCAAGGGCGTCTCGCGCCACTTAAGGAGCGAGATTATCTCCCAGGGCAGTCTTATTATTGCGACGGATAGTTGTGGAGTAGGAATGGGTCTGATAGCTGAAGAACTCTAAACGGATCGAGAAAGAACAAGCAATAGTGGCAGCGACCACGGCGATCGCTCTTTGCCAGGTTTTGATAATGCGCGCGGGATTCTCCTCGCAGGGAAGTAATCAATCATCCCGTTATTCCTTTTTGTGACGGGTGAGAGGATCATACCGACGGAGAATCCCCTTACAGCGCATAGCCGGGTGTATACATGAGATCGGACTGACTCTTTCTGCAACCGTTCAAGATCTGAGACTCGGATGGAATTTGTCTCGCTTTTGAAAGTCCCAGCGAGGCAGCTATAGATCATGTCATATCATGGATGTTTCGAGTGATTGCCACTATGAAATTAGCATGGGAAGAATGCGCCTATGGGCAAGCAGCTTTGGACTCTGGCTGGCCGCGCCGGGAGTGTCTAATCATCTTATCCAGCCGGCCAATTTCTATCGCGGTATGGTATGTAAGATACGACGACTGGAAATTACAGCACCAGCAACTCGGAGTACTTTGTGGCCAGGCCAAGTGGGGGCCACTAACAGTGGGTATGGGAGTTACAGCCGTGTTACGTATAGCTGTAAGACACACGTGATGCTCTCCCCCTCAGAGCCATCGATTCGCCACTTTATTATTAGCTTCCCGAGACATTGTTTTGTTATGATTCGGTATCCACCGGTACCTGAAGCCAAGACGAGAATTGAGTTTTCAGGCATGAGGTCCAGCGCATTCATCTTGGAAG